TTCAATGGCGTCTTGTGTTTTAGCATTTGATGGCGAGATGCTTCTGGCGTCGATTAAAACACAAGAGATCTACTAATATGCTTTGGCTAAGATCACATCGCCTCAATCATAAGAGTTCTTACTGATCATTACCCAATAGGCGTTCGTGTAGTAAACCTTAAAATCTTGTCGGACGTTAGTTGTCAAATGTTTGGAGGAGGTTGAAGTAGAAACATCCAGGCACTTTCTCTTCCATTGTCCAGCCTTTGCAAGACTGAGATTGAAATATCTTGGTAATCTTAAGGTCTCAAAGTGCTTTATCGATAAGGATGTAAAGATGTTATGATCTATTATAAAAGTTCCTACGTACCAAGATGGGCCGCCTAAAGGAGATGTCTCTTAGGATCGACATCTTAATCTAACCTAAGCCGTGTTTGAAGCAACTCGGTTGCAATACTTTCTGCTAACCGGACAAATTGGCTGGAGTAGATATTAGCCGGCACAATAAGTTTGTGGCTGGCTCTTGACGCTTTGTAGATATGCGACGGTCTTTTCAATCTATACCATACGATTCATTGCATCACAATGGACATAGTCAATGACAACATCTGATGAGTCGGCTTTAAAAGAGTTCGAGTGAAAGGTTTTGTGGAAGATTTATGGTCCTTCGCGCATTGACAACGGCAAATACCATAGTCAATGGAACGAAGAGCTATACTTGATATAAGGCAGCATTGTTTAGGAATCAAGAGACAGCGGCAGGTCATGTTGTCGGGATGGTTGAGAGCACTCCAGCTCTGAAAGTATTAGTTTTAGTACACGTCGGTGGTAGCAGAGGAATAGGAAAGTCTTCCTCAATTGCAGCGATCAGGTCGAGAAGGACCTGGCTTCACTTGGCAACTCCAATTGGCGGCAAATAGCGAAGCAAAGAAATGAAAGAGCGTTGTTGTTAAGCCTAAGCGGTGTCTACGCCAGTAGAGAAAAGAATATAAATAGTGGCAGCGACATTACCCTTTACCTGCAGGGCAGGCAAGTGTTGTAATTCATAAATACCGTCACCAAGTCGCAACGGCAATGCAATAACGCCCACGGTTGTTTACACATTTGAACTTATTTGAGCAGAAATTTGCTGCACCAAATATGCGCTTACAAATATAAGTACATACAAACATACAACAAATTTTAATGCTGCCAAATACGGCGTAAAGACATAACACGAGCTCCCCGCCAACACCCTCAAATGTGACTGTTCAACTCCAAAAACGTACGTAAATTTCAGCACCGAAATCGCCTCACAGTGCGCACGCCTCCTCCGCTGCTCGTTTCACTCTTGTGCCGCTTGTTTGTACTATTAATCATTGCTCGACCCGGCTTGCGGCAATTTTCACGTCCACGTGGAAAACACGATTTAAACCTTTTAAATACTCATTTGATTTAATTTTATATGTGCGCCAGCACTTCCGTTCGCTAAACCAACACCCATATTTGCGTTGACTTCCACCTGCTGTCGTTTGTACCCGGCGTTGGCTGCGCTTTAGTCGCCCGCAGATACGACGACGACGCCGCAAAGCTGCTGCAGCCAAGCAGTCGTTGCGGCAAAGCAGTTTTGTCGCCGATATTTTCATTTGATTCTCTGCTATTTTTCATTCCACATCAATGAACACGATGCCGTTGGCCTTCAACACCTACAGCACCCGCCAGCTTATATACTATATATATACATACATACCACAAACACACACAGTGTACTGCTGGCTGCAAGTTGCTCGGTGTTATTTTGTGTGAGGCTGCGCTGGAATGCGGTGTCATAGGTGTTATTCGATTGATATAACAGATCTCTGATTGTTGCGCTACGATACTATTTTTGTCGCTCGTTAAAGGTATTTTTCAGATTGCGCTGTATTTTTATTATAACTGTAATCCCTAACTGCAAAGTGATATACTTATACACATACATTCAAACATACAAGTATATTTACGAAAATGAATAAGTGAGGCTCTCCACCCTTTGGTCGAGCTTCTCGTCGTATAATTGAATTAGGGATGTCCGTATGTCCAACAGTACCGATTGCGTTAAAAAAATGTACAACATAACGGTTGTTAGTCACTCAAAGAGCTTAGTTACAGATACCCACAAATAAAAGTTAACATAAAGGAATCTTGTAAAGCTTCTCACGTGACTTTTAGTCTCATAAAAATGTAGAAGAAGCACAAAATCTAAATATTGATGACTTGAGACGTGATCGACTTAGCTAACGGTAAATGTCGAATAGACGGATATGGTACACCTAAAAAGGAGGTACAAAAAACCGACATAAAAACAAGGCTTAACGGGATTTAGCAATTAAAAAGAATTAAGAAGAATGATAAGTAAATACTTGGGAGTAATTTCCTGGGAGTAATTTCCTAGGAGTAATTTTTGATATCAAAATCATGTGGAAACTCAATGTGATGGAGAGAGGGAAAACGGCCGAAGGTCCCTAGGGTCTACATAGAACCACATGGCTTCACGTTTAGGCGGCAGAAAACATTCCTCAAGTAATTTCGAGAAATAGTGCCGAATCTAGAGTCATTGGCCGGATAAAAGTCTGGGTCCGTTGCGGTTACCTAAACCCGACTGTCTTGGAAACGAATAAAGCATTAATGTTACACAGCGGTAATCAAGCCTATATTGCTTTACGGTGCTTGAATTGAGAAAACGCTTGGAGCGATTACATCGACTCGCTGTTACCACGACCGGTGTAAGTAACCGGAGCGGACTCGGATTTTTGTCAGGCCAAAGACTGCCAACTCGTTACCATGATTCGAAACTATTACAGGTATGGTTTCTGCCACTACAACAACAACGCGGCTGTTCTCCGTCAATCGACATTGCAGCGGAAAACCTCTACAATAATATTCAATATAGGCGGTTTTAGATTAATTCTCCACGAGGACCTTCAGGTGTAACTCGATAAGCTTGGGGTTGGTGTATGAAATAGACCATATACACTCACGCTTTGTTTGGGAGGGACGGTGTCAAGTTATACTAAATGAGGGCATATGGCACGGGAGCAAGCGACTGGCCGGGGGAACATAGCAGGTTCGACACAGACATGGTTAATGGAGTGGACGCCGGAAAATAATGATCGGGTCTGAAATACTGCATCCCAGAATATTGCAGTATCTTCCAGGCGAAAGTCTTTGCGGCTAAGAAAGCAGCTGAGATAAGAAACAATGGAAAGAAATGGAGTAAACGATGGATATTCGATGGTCAAGCGGCGATTAGGACAATAATTTCACATCGTATTTCGTCAGAGAATGTCCTTAGAAGAAGGGAAGCAGAAGATGGGTTTCAGCCCAAAAAGAAATTTCGGGAAACGAAATAATACGTAAGTAAGTCACTAAAAACGATATGCATATAATGACATTTCCGAAGGGGCTGATAGACGGATCAGGCGAAATGGAATAACTCAAAGACATGCAGGATCGCCACGATTACCTGTAGCAAAACACGCATGCTTGCTACTCACACGGTCTGGAATGGACTGCAGGTCAGTATTTGACTTAATGATAGGTAACAACTTACTGGCTGTAACTGCGCGGCGGATAGGCATTGATAACGAAGATATTTGAAAAAAGTGCAGGGAATGAGGCATGCTGCTTCTGTCCATCTTAGGTATATGAGAGCTTCGCAGTTCAAGAGACTAAATAAGTTAAATATACAGATATACAAGTATTAGATATCTAGCTTCGCCAAAAGACCTTTATGACGAGTAAGTCTGCACCACTGATTTCTTTTATTTCTTATTATTGAGAACTTTTTTTGCACTTTCAACTAGAAGGAAACGTCAACGACTAATTAGAATATAGAAATAAATGATCCGCTGAGTCTATTCCGCCTTATCCGTCTGTCTGTCTGTCTGTATACCATATGTATTTATAAACTAGTTCGGCGGTTTTTGAGATATCGATCTGAAATTTTGCACCCATACTTTTCTGAAGTAGCTGCTCATTGGTCGGAACGGCCGATATTCGACCACTATAGCAAACAGATACCACATAAACTGTACGATCGGAATCAAGGGCTTGGGAAAATTTTTTCATTTATGGAAAATTTTTTTATTTATGGAAAATTTTGTCATTTATGGAAAATTTTTTCATTTGCCGAGATATCTTCACAAACTTTGGCATTAGTTATTATCCGAGGATTAAACTTCCAAGAAGCTGTTTAGACCGGACGACTAGAGGATATGTGTAGCTGTCATACAAACGGACCGATCAAAGTTCCATTCCCACGACAGTCGGGTCTACATAACCAGAATGGACCTGGATTTTTTTCCAGCTTAAGACTGTCAACACTGCCGCTACAACTACAACAAACCGATCAATGTTTTCATAAAGAATATTTTTAATCTGTGAGGGGTTACAAGTTTTATCTTTGTTTTATCGATATTTTCAAATGGTTTTCAACAAAATATGAGTTTCTTTTCTTTTTTACCAATTTCAAAGACTACTGCATGGACCTACTAGTCAATTATGTACATAGTGACTTTTCAGACTTCTCATTTTATGAATTTTGTCCCGCCAAGGGTTGTAATTTCAGCAATCTAACACTGCCTGGAACGCTAAGTAGTCATTCGCTGTTAATCTTCATCAACCAAGAATTGTTAATAACGTAGCAGAGTTAACCTTACCTGTGCTTAATGTTGCTAAAGTTTCTTGAATTCGCGATTTGGGATTTCAAACTTGAACAGCATTTCAAAGAGCATTAAACCGATTTCTGTTACACGTTGCGCTATATGTATCTTGATATTGTAAAATCGGGTATATCACATTTGATTGATGAAAAAAAATAAATATTTGCGAAAGATGTGAACACAGCTTATAACGTTTGCTTGTTATTTCTATAATAAAAGTTATACATGAATAAAAAATGTATCAAAGAAAGCACACTGCTTCTCCTTCGATTTTACTTACATATAAATCCCCGTTAGGTAGGCAAGTAATTTGATTGTTGATAACCGTTAGCTGAACGCGTAAATTTGTGTGAATTTTTTTGTGTTTATTTATGAAAGTATGTTTGTACATGATTATATATATATATMTTTTCATTATATTACTCATCATCATCTTACAATAGTCACAAAACTTAATTAAGTCAAATTCTCCTGCTTCATTGATTTATCCCCATCTAAACAGCTGTCATCTGTGGACTTATTTGCGCTCGCCGAACTCGAGTTCAGCAGTGATGTGTTAGCTGTTGAGTTTAATTTCGATTTATTGCGACCCTCGTCATCGGAATCCTCATCGTCGGGATCCAGTTTAAGCATTAACTTTTTAAAATCTAAATATTTTATAACCAAATCCATACGCTCATCATTATTCAAACTGGTTTGCCCAATTGCAACATTGGAAGCTAACTTCGACTCCTGTTGTTTCTTAATAATATCTATTGTTGTTTTAGGATTAAAATCTGTTACAGTTTTACGAACTACCGCCTTCTCGTATAACTTCGGTTCAGATGGTGAGTACCGCGATATTTTACCATCTGTTAAACTGTACATATTTTTTAGATGATCCTTTAATATTAACAGCAGCATACACGCCTGCGCCGACATTATGCACTTTTGCATTTCGAACGCATTCTCCGGCAAACGCTTGAACAATATATCGGGATCATCCTCATCGTCGTCATCTTCTAAAACATCGCCTACATTAACGCTAGGTTTAAGATTTTCCTTAAATGTTGTGAGCAAATTAGTACCAACAATGGATATGAGTAAATCGACTTGATGTATTAAATAAAGCGGCTCATCTTGCACCACATAGGGAAAGTAAGCCAAATTATCCGCTATATACAGCATTTGCTGTAGCGAAGTTTTCTGATCGTCAAACTGCTTGACAATCGTTTGAACCAGGGCACGCCTTTGCGTTTTTATCGGACGCAAAAGCGTGTACAAGAAGTCATTTAGCGCCGTGGGCATTGTGTCCATCTGCCTTTTAACATAGCCACGTATGACTTTGCTAGCGCCTTTACCCTTGTTGTTCTGCTGCAAAATACCCTGTAAACGGAAGCTAAACTGCAAGCCTAACTGTGCTTTCATATTCACAAACCCATTGTACATCTTATCGATGTCTTTGAGCAAGGCATCGGCTCTGTGCGCAGACTCGACACGCGAATCCGTGCTCAAGCATATAAGGTATGGCACAGTCTTCACAGGATGTACAAGGCCCTGTCGCAGCACAATCTGTATAACTTTGACGGCCCATAAACGCACATTGTCGTCGAGATTTAGGAAACATTCGAATATTTCTTGCAGATACAATTGTATGATACGACTCGACATGCCCGACGACACATCGTTCATTTCCTTCAGATCCTCCGTTTTCGATTGCTTATCCCAATCCTTCTCCTTGTTGAACATATTCATCTCCGACTCAGTCAGATATATCCAAATGTTACGTAAACAAATGATTTTGAAGCAAGCATCGCTCGTCTCCGAAAGCAGCATATCGCAGTAATAACGCTTCAACTTCGTGTTGGTCAGATAGTAATCGTTCATCACACAGAATGAGCCCAACGCGATGAGCGCCTCTTTGCGTATGTCCGGATTTTGATATTGCGCAAAGAACATCAGACACTCGAACACATCATTGCATATGGTCGGCGATAGGCCGTTTGTGGCGCCCACAACCTCTTTCGATTTGAAATCGAAATAACGCATCAGTATGCCGATGGTGAAGAGACTGCGACGTATAGCTGCGCTTAAGTTATTAATTTGTCGATTTTGCAATATTTGACTACGGGTTTGATCTAAAATGCGATAAAACTTCTGAAAGCAATCTCTTATCAAAGCATAGTTATTTGTTATTTTGTTGACGATCGCACCCAAGCAGGACACACAGCTCTTTACGACCGCCTGATTCAGCGACACAACCAACAGCATCAAATGCTCTTCGAGCGAAGCTAAAAACGACTCACTCGCGTTATTAACCAGCGGTACGACCTGCAAGGAAAGCACAAAAAAAAACAAATTGTTAAGCAGTCAAACTAAGCCAGGAGGCGCACAAATGTGTTTTATGTACCTTTTCCAGTATGTCAGCGACGGCGCAAATGAATTTCGGTGCTGTTGTCGGGTGACACTTGATATTCAGATAAGGCTCGATAGTAATTGCGTGCTGTACCAGCAGCTGCGGACGCACCTTCGCCAATAAATGCAGTGTGGTGATGCAGCCCAGCATTCGTGTGTTGTCCGTGTCCTCCAGTTCGATTAGACGCCCCACCAAACCGTCGGCCAGCTGCTGACACGACAGCAAGATATCAGCCGGTGGCTCGGTTTTCTTCTGCAGCGTATCTTTCATGCTGTCATCGCCTTTGGTTGCGCTCTCCTTGGGCTGGAAAATGCTATTTAAGAGTCCCTCCAACCAAGCCGTGCCCGTGTCGTGTGCGATATTCACCACATCGATGATCTGATTGATCTTCAAATGTATGCCGTCTTTGTCGTTTTTATGTAACGGCGTAAACCACATTTTCATAAAGACCTCCGTCACCAGCTTTTGTATGCCCTCCTCGTCGTTGACGCGTCGTATCATTTTCACGCATATTTCTGGAATTTTCTGAAACGTCGGATACTCTATGCAGATGTCGCGTAGTATTTTTATGACACGCTTGCGCACCGATACGCCCGTATCTAGAATTCTAGTCGACAGCATATCATAATACTGATCAATTAGCTCTTCGTTGCTCAGTACGAATTTACCAACCAAATCGACGGCCGCCTCACGCACCGATATAGCGGCATCCAAGAACTTTTGGTTCACGCCCATTTGCATGTCTTTGCGCCGCAGTACCATCGGATCGACTTCGACTATATTCGCTAGGCATTTCATCGCACGCGTTCGAATTGCGATCGACGGCTCATTTACAACCAATATAATTTTCTTGAGATAGCCATCGAACGATTTGCTAAATGGTCTTTTGCTGGCCAAATATTGCGCTATTAAATGTGCATTGTTGTAATCGATATATGTTTTTATGTGTTGTGCATGATTGGAATCGCCTAGCGTTGAGTATGGATTTATATTGTTCAACAAGCATTGCTTGCGTTTATCAAGCATATTGAAACGTTCCATATTCAATTCTTGATCAGCCATAGTGCAATCGCCACCAACACGACTATCGACATTCTCGAAGTTTATATCATCGCCGCTGTCGTCGTTGCTATCACTGCCGGAGAGATCGGCTTCTGTGCGTCTTTTACGCGTACTCTTCTTTCGCGTTGTATCCCGCTTGGCGCTCTCGTTGATGTTGCGGCGCTGATAAATTATATCACGATACCACTGTGTCAAATAAAAGTGACGGGCATAATCCCAAATGGGATTGTCCACGTGTGCATTAGCGGCTAAAAAGTCCAGCAGTATTTTCTGCAGAAATTCCACACGCTCATCCTCCTTTAATTCGACCTTATTAATGCTGGATGGCAAGTCACCTTCCTTCTCCTGTTCCACTTTAATATACCGTATCATTGAGTCTATGACATTCACTTTGTAGCGTGAGTCAACGGCATCTTTGCGTAAACGTGCTGCCACAATACCCAAGTAATCCAATGAAACCAAACGTATACTCTGTTCTATAGATTTGTCGGAAACATAACGGACAAGCATTGTGCCTAAGAGTGAAAGCAATAATTCGGATGATGGCCATTCCGGTTTGTTTACAGTGGCGAGGAGATCGTAGATGAAATTCTCGAAAATTGGACGGAAATCGGTTTCATTGGACCGAGATTTGCACTTATTTAAAAATGTCGTTAGGAAATTTCCACCTATACTTATGGCGATTTCGTATTTTTTCAACACAATCACATCGATATTTTGTCTGTCGGTTTGTGTGGAAAAGCCGGCCGCTTGATTTGCCATATCGCCGTATTGCGGCAAAGACTTGCGTTTATTCTGCGAATTGCTATTCATGACATCGGGTAAAATCGTAACGCACTGAATGAGCTGTAGCACTAATGCGGTCACCATTTGGATGTTCCCACTATTGTTGATTAGTTTGAAGGGGCGTAGATTTTTCTTCGAAGACGGCAAACGATCGATGGAGGTCAGTATATCACCAAGTATACTGCTGCGTATTTTTACATATTCCTCTTTGCGAAAGAGCGTCGTGACCAATTCCAAACATACAAATTGCAAAGTTTCGATATTGTCCACAAAAAATGGTTCGATAGACAGGGTCGATAGTGGTAGTATGATGGTATCGACGAAAATATATTTGTCGAAAAGCGTCACGAACACTTTCATTAGCTCTGTGGCCTTTGAGTATAGCAATTGCAGACTGCGATTGTAATTTTGATAGATTTTCGATTTCTTACGGTTATCTGTCTTTTTCATACTTTTAACTGTGTAGACAGGATCATATGATGGAAAGATCGTCTCGCGAAATTGGAAATGCATGAATTTGATAATAAGCGAAATGTGATCTTCTTGCAAGAACTTAATATCCTTTGAAGTGCAATAAATATTGCAAATCAGTAGACAAGCTTCGATTCCGTTTAAAATCTTTTCCATTATTTCGTCATCCACAATGTCGTCTTCATCGTCTGGGCCAGCAGAATAATTCTTCGCCAAATACACATTTCGCATAGCGTAATTGACCAACAGAGCCAATTTATTTTTCGGTATAACATCCAAAACGTACTTGGCTTTTAATTTGGCGATGTCGTTGCTCATTATGTTAAGCATTCTGGACGAAATACATTCAATGTTCTCGTCCACATCGTCGGTATCGAAATTTGGAACTTCTGTGTCGTCCAGCGTCTCAATGATTTGCTCCAAATTGCGCATAAATTGCTGATACGTTTGTGATCGTAAAATTTCGTCTTTGGAACACTTCGAAGACGGTGTTGAGACAATGCGTTCGACGCAACGTAGTTTCGGTTGTGAGTGTATCTGTTCAGGCGGCACTTCGTCAACTGAAGGAGGAAGTTTCCGTTTGACAGCGAGTGGTTTTTCATTTGTCTTCATCAAGTTAAATGCGTCATCGTTCTCTGCTGCTTTGGTTAATTGTTTCGCATTTCGAGCAGGTAACACAGTTGGTGGTGGTACAGTGGGTGGCACAGATGTAGTCGCCGTTGTTGTTGTGGTTTCCATCTTTTCTACTTCTACTTCTTGCTTTGGAGTCTGCAATTCAGGTGGAATTATCAAACCGAATTTTCTTGCAGACTCTGGTGATTTCTTTACAAATTTTTTTATGCTTTCTTGCATGAGAGATGCGTCTTTTTCCTTAAGTCTATTTATACATACCCTAACGTTAGCTACCTCAGACGATTTACTAACAGAATCTGCATTGGTCTTCGCGGCCTCACATCCGGTTTCACTCTTTATGGTCTTCAGCGTAGACCCTTGGTTAGTGTTCAAGTCGCTTGAAAATGGAGTTGCTAAGGCTTGTGCGTTGAAATTGTGTTGGGTATATCCATTATTTACCGGCGGCTGTGCATTTAACACACCTGTTGTAATTGTGCATTTACTATCTGGCATTTGAGTAAAATTTGCAGTTTGATAATTTTCTGTCCCGGCTACTGGTATAGTTGGGGTTAAATTTTGTTCATTTACAGTTGTAATATTATTAGTAATTTGTGGATTAATCGTTGCTGGCAAGGAACCCGTGTTTTGGAAAGATACTGTACTTTCAAAAGCAGCTTTTTGTTCTTCTCCCGGAAGGGTGGGCTTTTGTTCTGTTAGATTTTGATTTTTCCGTTTTCTCGGAGTATGCACATCGCAATTATTGTTTTGAATGGAAGTCATTTCCATTGTTGGAAAACTGCCACTATTCAAATTCTTTGATATAGCAGGATTATTTGAATCCAGGGTCGTTTGTTGTTCAATCCGTTGCAGGTCATCAGACTGTTGCGTTGAAACGCCACTTCTTTGCCCGTGAACAACATTGTACCACTGTTCTTGTTGTTGCTGATGAGTTTGTTGTTTATTTTTCTGATTCAATTTGCCATTATTAGCATTAAACACGGTAGGGTTGTAGCTGTAAATACCCTGCAGTAGTTCTGGATACGTATTTATATTAGTACCAAATTGTTCGATTGCATACTGTGATTTTAGTTCTATTATTTCAGAGTTCGTCTGTTCAATAGCATGCACCAGCTGTTTTACTAAATTATCATCACGCACTGATAACAAATTGTTGGATTCTTTAGCAACCAATGTGTGAAATAACAAGGATTTATTTAAAGAAGTGACACTTGCCAATGTGTCTGGTACTGGAAGTTCACTAAGTAAATCTGACAAACTTGTCAAACAAGCCAAAGTTGTTACTGGAACACTGGGAATATCGGGGTCAGTCATATTATTTTCTAAAACTTGCAAAAAGCCCTTAGCACAGAACACAATTTCACGAGAATATCTTTATTTATCTCAAAAATCAGTCGCAGCTTTCTTCCAGTAGACTTAGATACCCCACAATTGTGTACATTCGTTAGATGCGCAGCGTTGTGCAGCGCCAAATATTAAGTTGTCTCGTAGGGCAGCTGATTTGCGCTATAGTTTGGCGCTATTTTATAATTAAACATAACTTGAGGATGTGATCACTGAATCCTAAAAAAAAGTCACCATTTAGATAATTCACACAAAATATTGGATTTTTACCTCTTTTGCTGACACAAAATAGCTGACACAAGAAAACTGGAAATGAAATGACATTTACAACCGCGTTGCCAACGGCAAGAATGGCATCGCTGTAAGCTGCCAACTGCAATACAAAGTACCATTAAGTGATAAAGAAGGGTGACTCATATACAGCAAATGTTTAATTCATCAATATTAATGAACAAATTATTATTTATTTCCTTGAGACAATATAATTTACTCGCAAATTTGGGAGTTTTCTAAGTTGATCATTCTATTATTTAGTTTGCGCTATGCCCTCTAAATAAAAAATCTCCAATAACAAAATAATTAACGAATTTATTTTCAGTACAAATTATATTAACAAATATTTAACTTTTCGACCAAACAAAGCAATTTACAGAGTCTTATGACACAAGCACTCAAAAGGATGGGTCTGAATGACTATCATCACTGATTGGACCAAGTTCGTCCGAATCACACTGATAATGAGTTTCCACACTATTTCTATCTATTTCAAGGGGCGAAGTTAGTAGCCGCGTGCGCTTAATGATATGGACATCTGAATTTTCGTTTTTCTCCTCCATTTTCTTTTTCAAACTGTTATTATCTTGGTTATATTTTTTGGACGGAAACTTGAAGTTGAGTTGTAATGGCTTTCCAAACTCGAGTTCCACTTGCGGAGGACTATAATTTAGGTCATGATGCACTATGGCTTTTACAGCAATTTTTTCGGACGCTATTTCGGGACTGTCAAAAGGTAAAGCGTCAGAGTTCGGAATACATGTCACCGGGGTGTTGGGGCTACTAAAAGATAATTATTTTTCGCTGGCTTAAAGAACTTAAAGAAATATTTCATACCACTGTGATAATAGTCTTATAGCATTACAATTCCTGTTATGATCGGGTTTGATTAATGTGGATGAGTGTTTATCACAGTACATTTGGTCAAAGTCCAGTTCACTTTCCTGAGTAAATAAAATTAGAAATCATTTGAGCTTGGAAAAACATATATTATACTTTTAGAGCACGCTCCAGATCATTTTCAAAGAAAACTGTTTCACATTCTAATACAGATTCCTCCAGTACTTGCATTACTTGCTGCATCTCTTCCAGTTTCATTCCATCCTCATATAGTCCTAAGTCTTATGTAGAAAGACAATAAAAAACAAACGGTAAGTTCTGTTATTTCTTAAATGCTCATATATAGTTTTTTAAATAAACTTACTTATTAATATTGATTTATAATCCTTTTGTTTAGCACTTCTTAGCTCCATTCTAGACAAAAACATGTGCGAAAAAAATTTTCTTACAAAACTAACTGTTTTTAATTAATTATACTTAAAAACTAAACGTATACATATAACAACAAATAAAATACAGCAGATATACAACAGTTGCAGGCTATACACGGCGTTAAAACCTAAGCAGTACTAAATTTATTTAAAAATTGCTAAAATAATAACATAAAAATATAAATAATGATTAAAAATTATTTCTTTATTACGAACGATTCAACCATAATTATCCATTGTGTGTATTAATTGCAAATATATTTTCAGGGTTGTATCCTCTCTCTAGCAAATATTTAAAGCTCCAATCGAACTTTCAATAACAATCGATAAATACACTGTTGTCGACAGTTCTGCTGAATTCATAACATTAACTTGACATTTGACAAAACAACTCTACTATTCGATGCTTAAATTATAATTTTCTGATATATTGCTTAATAAATTTAGAAACGTGTACAGAATGTGGCAGGCTCAGCAAATAGCAGCAATCCAAATTGCGAATCAAATGCTTTACGCAATGTCGGCACCCCCAAGCTATTCGCTGAATCAACGTCCGCCGCACTTAGGTTCGTCAGCTTATGATGATACGGCCGCAGACACAGACGGTGAAGATGATGAAAAGTTACGTACGCTGTTTGTTGGAAATTTAGATGATCGCGTTTCGGAAGATTTACTCTATGAAGTTTTTCTACAAGCTGGTCCTCTGGAGTCTGTACGTCTACCAAAAGACAATGGCGGTCGTACGCGCGGCTTTGGTTTTGTTGTTTACTCACATCGTTGCACGCCAATTTATGCTGTGCAATTATTTGCTGGCCTGATGCTTTTCCGCAAAATGTTAACAATTAAAGCACAAGGTGACACAAATGCGTCAAATAAGCGTCGTTCGTTTCCCAATGATTGTGAGCGCTACATGCATCGGCCGGGTGATAATAGCATGCTACGCAGTACAAGTTATCCAAGTTTCTATGATCCAGCTATGAATGATCTTTCAACCTCACCGCAATCATCTAATCCGTTTCGTATGAATTCGCCCGATTCGCCCAGTACACATAGTAGGAGTCGGGAAAGAGGAAATAGAGAACGAGAGCGTGATAGAGATAGAGATGTTGACAGAGATTGGGTCACTAACCATTCTAATAAACATTCTCGCTCGCATCCTTACAGACGTGATGAACGTCGTGAACGAGGTGAAAGTAACCGGAAACGTAGGTAACAGTTGGAACAGGATTTGAAGGCGTTTTGCATCAATATACTCTAAGCAAAATAATACTATTCAACATGAAAATTTGCAATGGAAAAAGATAAGATTTTAAATAAGTAAATTTTTATAGTGACCCGGCTAAATATTAGCGTAAACGTAATTCTGTATTTTAAGGTAGTCAATAAGTAAATTGCAAGTCCGTATAAAAAATGCAATCTGTAAATATAAAAAATCAAATTTTGGTAATAATAATAATAATAAAAAAAAAAAAAAATAATAATAATAAATTAGTACAAAATTTTATAAATTAATTGACATAGCCCTTCAATTCTTTAATAAATATTAGATTATGTTTTATTGTCTCTAACCTCTCAAATATTGTATTGAATCAACGGATTAATTTATTTGAAATAGTATTGTGTATAACATTCTAATATTGCTTTATTCGTTTAAGAATGAATTTATAATTTACATCCGTTGCATGATATTAAATGTATTTTAACAAAATATGACGCTCCTAGTGTTTACTTACATACCCGATTTATATACATACTATATTTAACCTAAACAATCAAGAAAAAATTTTAATTTCGTTTGCAGCCTTCGCATATATGTACATAGACAGACGGACATGACTAAATTAACTAGTGTTTCCTTCTGAGTGTTGCAAACTTCGTGGTAAACTTAATATACCCTACTCAGGGTATAAAAAAAATATTTATAATAAATGTGTAATTATAATTTTATTAAAATATAACTACCCTAATGTGACAGAGCAATTCGTATTTAAAAACATTCGTGTGAATCACATTAAATATACTTTTATGTACAAATATTATTGCTTTGACTAAGTAACTAATTTTATAATTTATTTGTAGTCGGAAACAAGTTTTCAACGTATACTTTTCAGCGTTTTCTCCACATTGCGATATGTACGCGCCGGTATGACATCAGTAAGTAAACGATTGTAGTTCGGGTGATCGGAGAGCAGTCGAAATATTGATTTAGCATAGCTGCGCGTCTCAAGACTACCCTCAAGCAGTAAATTGGCGCCCGTTACAAAGAATTTGTCACGATTTTCCCTTGTCATAGTATAGACCTTATCGCTGCCCAGACGCTCAACCAGCCGATGCAACAGTTTGGCCGTCGTTGTACGCACCAATGCATTCTGATGCAGCGCACCCTTTGTGGTGAGTATATTTAATATTTTTGGTGGCGTTAAATTATCACACATCGATTCTAGGGCACGTGTGGCATCGGCGCGCAGAAAACGATTTGTATCAGCCGTACGATGTAGTAGAGCGCAAACCAAATCATCACACTCCTGCTCCAGACATTTCGATTTGAGTGTGAATAGTTCGGTGGTGGCCTGACATGCGGCACGTGATACTTGCGAACGCAAATTGCGCACCGAACGCGTTAGTTGTATGCAAACCATATGCATTTGATTTTCCAATTGCTCCGGATGATACCTCATTAGGCGCACCATTGATTTRAGGCCCAACATAATGATCTCCCAATTACTGGAGTCCAGTTGGTCGAAGGTTTTAAGTAAAGCGTCTCGTGGCTTGTCGAAACGTTGCAATGTTGGTGGATAGAGTTCGGCTTGTGGCATTTTAATTGCCTGCTTTACAGGTGAAATTCGTCGGTGATTTTTCAGAAAGTGTGAAGTTTTCGCCTTTTGCTTTAGCGGTGTGTGTTGCGGTTTAATTGGTATGCTTGTATTGAGCTGTGAGCTTGTGGCAGAGCCTGACTCGGTGCTGGTTTGGTCGTATACGAGCTCCTGCTTCGATGGTGGGCGTTCGTACAGTGATTCCATAGACTTGATCATCGAATTGCGCCGCGATAGCATTTTAATCTCAGCGATGGTGGGTGAACGCGAGCGCGACTGTGGCCGCGAGCGTACCGGCGTTTGTGGTTGTGATGGTGCATGCACATTTTTGTTATACGTATTGTCCGTCTCATCTGTATACGCATGCGGCGCATTTTCTTCTTTACTGCTGGCACTTGCTTTACGCGCCTGCTCGCGTAGGCCGCTGCCTTGTCGTTCGCTGTGCAGCTCATCCATCACCACAAAACTACTGTTATCTTCAATGTCTTCTTCTATTAACAAGGACTTCGCCGATTGTGTACGCGACAGCACTGTTGGTGTATCGCCGAGCTGTGTTTTAATGCTCTCGCTTTTGCTGTGTAAACTCGCCAAGCTTCCATTCTTTTTTAACGGTGTATTGCTTGCGGTCGCCGCACTGGCATTGCTTATATCCGGCACATCCTCCAACTGCAGTACATCGTGTTCGCTTCGCCACTTCATTGGTGTCGGACTGCTCGATTCATTATCACTGCAGGCGTCTTGCAATGCACCCATTTGTTTGGTTGAACCGTTATCAGTTGTATCCTCCTTATCCGTGTGGGGATTTTGTGTGTCGTTGTCTTCGTTTCGTTGCGCTTCGTATGTACCGTTTATGTTGCTAGGTGTATCAGCTGATTGCGCCGAGGCAGTTGACTTCAGTGAATATGCTACAGATTTATTCGAAACTGGTGTGGCTTGTTTCGATCCGCTATTTTGTTGTTTTTGCATGTCCGCTATGGCAGTCGCCGCAATCACAGCTGCCTCTCCATCCAATGGCCCAGGTCTGTTGCTGTAAAGAAAGAATTACTGTTATTAATGTGTTCTATTTGCAGTGTCTTAAACAAAGCCGAGTTCGAATGCGTATTTAGCTTAACTCGGACTCTATATATTCAGTTTATTCAAAAATCTTATAAAAAATTTTATGTTGTTCTCAAAAAAACTTATTCAATGACTGTTGTTGCCAGGAAAGCAAATCACAACGGGCGTTGTCAGAGAGGTAAGTGTTGGTTTTTAATTTACAATTGCCAAAAATGTTTTTATATCCAAATTGTTGATATTGTTCGAAAATGAATTTACGAAAAATATAATTTAACAATTTGTAATTGCCAAACATCCGAAAATTTAAACTCGTAGCTGTTCGAAATTTCGAAGTTTCAAATATTGTAAACAACTTTTTTTGTTTTATCAAAAACCGTTATTTGGTAGATATCACGAAAGCTAAAATTACTTTCTAACTCATTTCGAAAATATTTTACATACATTTTGACCAAATCGAAATTTCGAAATTTCAAATATTGCAGCCGAATTTTTTTGTTATTAAAAACTGTTAATTGGCCGATATACCGAAGACTGAAATAACCTGGTACGATTTTTCGAACTCATTTCCAAATCGAAATTTCGAAGTTTCAAATATTATCAAAAATCGATATAACGAAAGCATAAACCACATTTATGTATATGGTTATATATTTCAATCAAAACGGAAATTTGACATTGCAAATATTTTTAACTGTTTTTTTTATATCAAAAACCGTTATTTTGCCGATATAACATAGGCTAAAATCACTTTGTAAGATTTTTCGAACTCATTTCGAAAGTATCACATAATCAAATCGAAATTTCGAATATTATCAAAAACCGATATAACGAAAGCTGAAATCACTTTCTAACTAATTTCGAAACTATCTTCAATAAAAATGTTGATTTTTCGCACTAGTTTATATATGTACATATGTATGTTATTAATCAAACCGAAAATTCGAAATTGCAAATATTGTTAACTGTTTTTTTTTATCAAAACCGTTATTTTGTCGATATAACAAAGGCTAAAATCACTTTGTAAGAACTCATTTCGAAAATATCACATAATGAAATCGAAATTTCGAAGTTTCGAATATTATCAAAAACTGATCTAACGAAAGCTGAAATCACTTTCTAACTGATTTCGAAAACTATTTTCAATAAAAATGTTGATTTTTCACACTAGTTTATATATGTACATATGTATGTTTTTAATCAAACCGAAAATTCGAAATTGCAAATTATTTTGACGATATAACATAGGCTGAAATCACTTTGTAAGATTTTTCGAGCTAATTTCGAAAATATCACATAATCAAATCGAAATTTCGAGGTTTCGAATATTATCAAAAACCGATCTAACGAAAGCTGAAATCACTTTCTAACTATTTCCGGAAACTATTTTCAATAAAAGTGTTGATTTTTCACGCTAGTTTATATATGTACATATGTATGTATGTATTTTAATCAAACCGAAAATTGGAAATTGCAAATATATTTGTTAACTGTTCTTATTTTTTATCAAAAAACATTATTTTGTCCATATAACACAGGCTGAAATCACTTTGTAAGATCTTTCGAACTCATTTCGAAAATATTTTAAATAAAAATGTGTTTTTTTTCGCAGTCATATAGTATATATATTAATAAAATCGAAGTTTCGAAATTTCAAATATTCTTATTATGATTTTTTGAACTCATTTTGAAAAGACTACTTAAAAATGTTAGATTTTTCGTACTCATATAGTATACATATAATATACATATATGTATATTATATTTCTATCAATCGAAGTTTCGAAATTTCGTTTATTTTTATCAACTGTTTTTTACATCAAAACCGTTATTTGGTCGAAATCACTTGTATGATTTTTCGAACTCATTTCGAAAACAGTAAGTAAAAATGTAGAATTTATGGTACTCACATACACATGAATATTTAAAATAGATCTTATTTTTGTTATAAATGCATAATCAATATATTATATATAGTATATATGTACAGATGTATATAATTAATGCCAGTCCATTGTGGCACGCACATCTGGGCACTCCGAAGCATTCAAGCGCACTTGTGGTATGTTTTTAAACGTGAGCGTCCCGCCCTGACCACTTTTTTAATTTTATTGTTTAATTTTATTTTTATTAACATTAACATGAATGTATGTGTATGTACATATGTGCAAGTAACCGTAGTCTTCCATTGGCGTTGAGTTCACTGAACTTGCTGCATTTGAAAAATTAATAAATATACAAACAAGCATTTTTCAGTTCAGAAATAAACGCAGGACAAAAGTAAAAATATAATTTCTCAATTTCAATTTGCCCCTTCCCCTGTTAACCCCTTCACATTTTTATGCTGACAGTATCATCGGCAATTTGCCACTCTAAATGAATTGTCTCAATTAGTATGTACACTTGTGTGCATGTGTGTGTGATTTTGTTTGAGTTGTTGACAACTGTTTAATAAAAGTCGTTAGCGCTAAATTGCTTGCTGTGACAGTTATTGGAGCGTAATAGTAGCAAAGCTCCTTCCACAATCCGCGCTACGCTCCGTTGTGTTTTTTGTCTGGTGCCTAAAGGATTACCAGTAATTTAATGTGTTGTTAAATTTTTTTTTGTTTTCTGTTTGCTGTTCTTATTTACAATGCGTAAGCGATGCCTAAATGGTAAATTCAATCAATGTGTCACACCCCGTTTGGGGTTGTAGGCGTCTTCGGTTCCAATACTTGGTCTCTCCCACTAAGGAGCTATAAGTACATATGGTTTGGTATATTGATAGAAACTAACAAAATCTTAACTTATTTTAAGGCCAACAATCGAGAAGAAAGTAAAAGTCCTGAAGTCTCCTGGCGCGAGTCAAATTAGACGCTAGTCCTCCACTATGTAGTGTTCGCCATTCGCTTGCTAAATTTGAAATTGAATCATTCACTTTAATGACATAACACTTTACTGCGAAGGCACGCACGAAGCACAGTCCGTTACTATTTGGCACATCATTGTGCCGACTGTATTTGCCGTTACACGTTTTTTCTTAGCGCGAAGTGCGTAGTTTATTTCATTGCATATTTGTAGGCGGTCAAACATTGTGTGTCCTCTACTCTTTACCTTTCGAAGGCAATTAATTATAACTTGAGACCTTCATTTGCATAAATCCACTTACTTTTTCTTTGCATTAAAATACAGTATAATTTCTTACTTTTGCAAATGTAGTTTTTTTTTTGTCAGTCCGGCTCAAATTTGATCAGATCGTTTAGTTAAGTGTTTGTTGGAAATTTGCAAAATTACTTTTGTGATGTTTTAAATTTTTTTTTACCATTTTTACGTTTTTAGTAACATTTTAATTTTTTAG